ACACCCCCCCCCCCCCCCCCCCCCAACACCACGCTCGAGCTATGTAACAATTCCTCTAAGACAATCCATAATCGGTTAACGTAGTGCTTGAGATTTTGTGTAAGAAAGAAAGCGAAGAACGCTTTAATTCAGACCATTTTAGGAAGTTTGATCTTCTTGATTATTTCCAAGACTTCATTGTTCTAACGTGATTACTTAAACATCTAATTTAACATATGAATATAACAGATATGCTACTGAGTCTTACTTCCAACCGTGTGCAACCACTTAGTAACTCTTCTAGATCCGCAATATGAATTGCCCGACCTCTTTTTTCAGCAACTGAACTCAAATAGAGGGACCTGGAGGGACATAATCGACCCAAAAACCCAATAACAGCGCCATTGAAACTAACATGAAATCTCAAATAGAAATTTTACTTCATTGCAAACTAATAAAAGAGTCTTTAGTTTAGCTTTTGAGGATCAAGACCGCACATACCTTAAATCCTTGCAACACCCTCCGATCTCAGACAGCAATTTCCCACTGAAATCAGCGCAATTATGCAGATATAGTTCGTGCAAGGAAGGCTTCAGCAGGAGCTGGATAGCTGAATCATCAAGCTGACCACAATCTACCTTTAAGCTCCTTAGGAAAGGGTTTGGAGGCAGCAGAGGCCTCAGAAATTCCACCGTTGGAGAAATTTCCTACACGAGAAAAATCAAAACGAGATAAATAACTAAACCATACAATGATCCAAGATGATGCAGCTAGCAAAACGGTCAAATTTGAGCTTCGTTTCTCTCAAAATTATCAATAAACGACCTAGCAGAGTAATTTCTTCTATATCTTAAAAAAACAGAGCCAACCGATTTCCGGATTGGAGTATCCACATCGCAAAGGAAAAAGGGATCTCCAAGGGCAGTAACTAGAATCTCATTTCAAAAGTAGAAATCGAGAATGAATTAGAGGGAAATCGAAGCAGAAACTTACAAGGAGATGGAAACTAGGGAGAAAATTGTGAAGTTGTGAAGCACAGGAATGGAAGGTCGTGCAGGTGGAAGCAATGGAGCAGATAGAAGGCAAATCGAGCTTGGTCATGATGGTAGCAAGGACAGCAGAAGGAAGGCGATCGAGGCTTTCCACGCTGCCATTCTCGTCCGCCATTTTCGTCTGGTGAATTCAATTCAAGCTTCTTCAACGTTGATTCAATGGAAGATGGATGCGGTTCTGGGGAGGCACCGTCGTCTACGACGACTTTATCTTGATCCACAGCCGCGCTCCGACCCGATGGCATCTTGGTGATATATATCTTAGACAGAGTTTTAAATAAATATATAATATATAAAATTATTTTATATATATGCTTGATTTTTACACAATTATTTTGGAAAAAAAAAATGATTTAATTAAACAATATAGGAATCAATAAAAAAATATTTATATTAGATAATTGATTAACAAATAATTAAAACCATTCAAATTTACGTTATATTTAAAATTTTGATATTTACAATAATACCCCTAAATTTTTATACAATATTGTTGAATTTTCGAAAGTTTCGATAATATCCTTTAACCTAAAAAAGATATATAAAAAATATCCTTACATAAGTTCGGAATGTAAATCGTGATCATTTTATTTTAAAAATACTCCTAAATTTTCAGAAGGGTTTAAAAAATACCAATAAACGAAAAGTTGTTACAATGTTTTAAAAATACCAAAAATACCCTTGAACTTTTATAAATTTCATTAATATCCTTATCCTTAAACTTTCTTACAGAGTTCAAAGATACCCTCACTATTAATAAATGGATGGAAAGTTGTTACAACATTTTAAAAATATCAAAAATACCCTTGAACTTTCATCGATTTCATTAATACCCTTAAACCTTCTTACAAGGTTCAATGATACCCTTGCTGTTAGTAAAGGACAAAACCGTCATTACAACGTTTCTAATTCTTTAACTTTCAAAATTTTCATTAATATCCTTAGACTTGCTTAAAAAATTGAAAGATACCCTCACCATTAATAAATGGACGAAACCGTTCAAAAACTACCCACAAACTTTCAAAAATAGCATTAGTAATAGAAAACACGAGACAACTAGACAATAAAAAGGTAAACCTTAGTAACAACTCTACCTTTTACATAACAACTGTGAGATACATCAAGGCAATGGTGTTAAAAACTCTTCATACTTCATTTTTGGTATTCATATTTATTTGGTTGATACCTCTACTATCATGAAAATATCAACGTATCGATAAAACTTACCACTCTAACTCGATCTACTGAGAACTTTTCTCCAGCTCTTGGGTCGGGATTCCGTGATTTCTTCGACATCATCCTGTCCTGTTCGTGTTGACTTAATATTTCCCAAAGAAAAGGACTTTCTAGTTTATATATATCAAGGGACTTCTAAACTCTCTTAGTTTTAGGATGGAGGGGATCCCAGCCCTCTTCTCACCAAGTTGAACTTTCTAAACTGAAACTCCTATCAGCAGCATAATCCACAAAGCTGTACAAAGGCATCACTCGGTCTCCATACTTCTCAAATCCTTCCAATTCCTTCTTTGCTTTGGTCCTCAGCTCCTCTGCCACCTCCTTAGCCTTCTCAATCCCATATACTCGAACATAGCTCTTCCCTTTTCTCTTCTTACTCTCATCGGTTTGATCGAGTTTCTTTGCTTGTTCTTTCCGAATATCGTCTACTACCTGATACAACACGCCGACCGCTCTTCCGTACCTTCTCAATCTCTGTACCTCATGGTCTTCTGCTCCAGCTAGAAGTCCTCCGCACACAGCGGAGCATTGGCTCATTTCACCAAATTTCTTTTCTTGGACGAATTCTATGGAGTTGGGGCCTCCCTCAAGGTCAAGAAACTGTCCAGCTGCCATGCCTCTGGAACCAACGGCTTTGGCAATCTCGGCAACCACACGGAGCAAGCGGGACTCGGGAACGAGGTCGAATGGTGTGTGTGAGACAATGTGTTGAAAGCCAAGGGGAAAAAGTGCATCACCAGCGAGAATTGCCATGTCAACACCATAAACTGTATGGTTTGAAGGTTGGCCGCGACGCGAGGGATCGTCATCCATGCAAGGAAGGTCATCATGGATCAATGAAGCTGCATGAACCTGCCAAAAGATCAGTGATCAATTTAATACACTAGTTTGAAATGTGACAAGAGCTATTAAAAATAACCTAGCAACATGCAGTATATTGTTACAAAGGAGATGATGTTATCCGCATCGACTTTGATATCACAAAGAGTCAATAAGCTCTCTCAACTCTTAAAACGTGTCTTCAAAGGGTAAAAGTGATTAATTTTACTCTTGAATGTTAGATCTCACATTGCATCTCACCATAACTTGTTTTTCATTGGAAGGGAGGTACATTATTCGGATTTGGGTGTTTTTTTAATAGTTCAACAACATGGGAAGATGAAGGGAGATTCAAACCTCTGACCTCTTAACTAAAAGCACATGCCTTAACCAAACCGAGAAAAAGAGAAGTGCACAAATATGGTATAAGGTAAGAGCATACATAACCAAGTAAAGCATAACTCGAAAAGTGTATATAATACAGAATATGTTCCAACACAACTAACAAGTTTGGAAGTGATTTTGAAAGGATTAGAATCACCTTTTTCATGTTCAAAATCACCTCGAAACATGCCTATAATTATTCAAAAACAATTTGATGTTTGATTTCACACTCTTAAACAGATTTTTCATCCAATCAAAATTGATTTTGAAGTGTTGAATATGACGAATCAAAATCACTTCCAAGCAGAGTACGCCTTATGTTTTCTATCAAATTCTCTATCAACCACAGTCCTTTGAAGGGTTCTCTCACATTTATTCATCCGACCCTTCACTCATTTAGAGCCTAGCAAGTGTAATTCCCACATTTTACTAATCCTGGACATGAGAATAGAAATCAACTCACGTTTTTAAACGTATTGAATCATTGACCTAAAAACCAGAATGCATAATGTAACAGACTGCGAACTGAACAGTATTTTATAGCATAAAATGTTGCGCCCCCCTCCCCCCATCCCAAATCAACTTGGCTGTTCATACATACAAGTTTAATTCACATCTGGAGATTGATATGAACAGCCTGTTTCAGTAGCTTACCACTTAGAGACGATTGAAAGAACTATTACAGAAACTAGCAAACATAATGTACACAAACATGAAATCACAACCACAAGTGAATATTCGAATCGAGCAATTTGTAGTCAAACTTCGTCAATATCCCAAGAAATAACAAAACACGACAATTAAAGCGAATCTCAATCCAGAAACGTAAAATTAGGAATGAGAAAGAACCATTTCGAGAGCACAGGCGGTAGGGAATGCAGCAAGGCGGTCGACGCCGAAAAGCTCGCAGGCGGCGACGCACATAACCGGAGGAGCTCGCTTTGCTCCTTCAGCCAAAACCGAGTAACGCATAGCCTCGTAGATCTGGTCGGGGTACTGAATGGGAACAGCTTCATCCAGCTTCTGGTTGATCTCGAGAATCAGCTTTTTCCAGTATGTTTTCAAATCAAAGTGAATCGATTTAGCTTGAGAAGAAACCGCTGAAGAAGAAGAAGATGAAGAGCATCGAATTGAAGCCTTTGTTCCAAAATTCATTCTGAGAGAGGATGCCGCCATGATCGAAAATGCCATCGTCGATGCTCTCCCACTCTCGTTCGCTGTGAACTTTGCGGTCGAAAAATGGAGTCTGAAAGGAAGGTGGATGTCTGAGAGGGATAAGCACATGGAAGACGACGCAATTGCGGGCCATCGGCATCTGCCATGGATGAATAAGACGTGATGATAAAAACTAAACTATAACTTCTTTCTTTCTTTTTTTTCTTTTTTTCTTTTTTTTTTTTTAAATTTAAATTATTTAATTATTATTTTAATTTCTAAAACTTCATATTTTGAATATATTTTAAAAAATGGTTTTTTCTTTACGGGATGACAGTAACAGTACCATCACTAGACATTTCACTCGAGAGATCGACTAGGTTAGTGGAACAAATTATGGAAAACTCGGAGGCAAGCGAGATTTTGCCCAACTTTTGTTAAACCAAGATATTCTTGTTGTGAAAGCTCGGGAAACACCTCTGACTGTTCCATCTTTTGTTGGAGATTAGCTTATTGAAGAATTGTTTGATATATTGAGATACTCGATTCTTCAAGTAGACGTTAAACGAGCTTTGTAGGGTTCTTTTGCTGATTCATAACTAAGACTTGGCTACTTACCGACCTTACTGGGTCCAAGTCTAAAACTTGGCTCGATAACCGAAATATAAACACAAACAACAACTGTACATTGGTTATGCACTATTTCACGACTGAACTCTTTTCCTCGATTCAAGACTAGACTTACAGAACTCACAACATGCACAAGACAGAACTATGCACTACCCCACATTCAAACCTCCTTTGCTCGATTCAAAACTAGACTTTCGAGACTCACAACGTGCACTATCGGACCGTGGACACTAGTGCGCCAAGTGTGCCAACCCTAGGGAATCAGCACACCGACATGTCGGCTAGCTTCAGGCCCAACCTTCATGGCCCGTGGGCTTCAATTTCCTCGTAAGCCCAAGCCTTCTATCGTCTCCCTCATTTGACCTCTCGTCCCGTATTTCGGTACCCATTTCTAGTCTAGCAGAGCAATGGCGTCCTTCAGCTTCGGCTCTCTGCTACTGCTCTCAGCGATTTTCAGGCTGGCACTTATCCTCTACGGCGAGTGGCAGGATGCGCACTTGGAGGTCAGATACACTGATGTCGATTACATCGTTTTCTCGGATGCTGCTTCTCTAATGGCGTCGGGAAAGTCGCCCTATTTGAGATCCACATATAGATACTCACCATTACTTGCGTTTTTGCTCATACCGAACTCTATCTTCCATCGCTGTTGGGGAAAAATTCTGTTCTCAGCGTCAGGTGCCTTCACTTTTTTCATTTGATTCGTTACATTTCATTTTTCTTCTGGTTGCTATGTTAATTGTCTTGTTTCTGTCTAGATTTACTCGTTGGATTCTTCATACGTACTATTTTGAAGAAACGTGGGGTTCCTGAAAATTTATGCCTCGCTTCTGTTATGGTTTGGCTTTTCAACCCGTTTACGTTTACCATTGGCACCAGAGGGAACTGTGAGCCTCTTGTTTGTGCAATGGTTCTTAAGATCCTTTTGTGTCTGATGAACGGTGTAAGTTTCTTTTCTCTTTCAATCTACATTTGGAACTGTGCCTATTAAGCGAAGTCGGAAGTAGTTTAACTTAATCATGCAAATTTGTAGTTTCGACAATTGGTGGTGCGAATTTAATTTGTTTGGTTCGATATTGGGAGATATTATCATTAGCTGTCGCAGGATCGTGCATATTTCATAATATTCATAGTTCTTATTTTGAATTGTAAGCTGCAGGTTTGATTAAATTTGTGTGAAGAAGATTTTGTAATTTTCATATAATTTGCTATTGCTAAGATTCAACGTAAATGTAATGTAACTTCACAACATAACCAGTAACTTTGCACATTTAGTTCGAAATTTCTGATAGAAACTAGAAAGATTCCCGGTTTCAATTGTGGGATGTTGCTGTTTATTAGGATATTGGTGCATTTGTTGGTAAATTATCCATTTATAGTTTAGTATAACTCTCTTTCCCTGTAACAGGTCAGTTGCTACAAGCTGCATTTTGGTATGGACTCGTTGTCCATTTCCGAATCTACCCGATCATCTATGCCCTTCCGATTCTTCTGATTCTCAATCCAAATTTATTCACATCTGGCCTGAACCCTGTTCTTCAGAAATGGAGTCAGCATGATGAAAAGGCTCCTCAGAGAAATTTACAATCAAGATTGGCTTGTATTTTTAGTCCATGGTTTCTTTTGAAATCCATAATGACTAAGGAGAGGATACTTTTTGGCCTCATTTCTGGTTTGGTGTTCATCTTCTGCACTGCATTGTTTTATTATCTATATGGTTGGGAATTCCTGCACGAGGCACTGCTCTATCATCTCACACGAACTGACCCAAGGCACAATTTTTCAATTTATTTCTATCACATCTATCTTCATCATGAGCTTGAGTTCTCTGTTGTGGAGAAGCTCATTTCATTTCTACCCCAGTTGGTAGTGCAGCTCGTTCTCGTTCTATCATTTGCTGAAGATCTTCCATTCTGCTGGTTCGCGCAGACTGTAGCCTTCGTGGCATTCAACAAGGTTCGTGTCCAAATCATTTTTTGACCTTAAGAAGTTACAGATAGAGCTAAGATTCCTGTCAAAACATGAGTTTTTTCAAGTTAATTGCACTTTCTGTTAGGATAACACGTTTGAGTTTTTGCAGATGTGCATGTCAGCTAGGTTTAGTTAGTTCATTATGCGGTTTTTGTTGTTCTAATGATGAGTATTCTTGGGCATTGTTCTTATTCTATAGCTTGCAGGAGTTTTCTTTGATATCCCACGTCGGTTGGGGAGGAGAATGTAACACCCTTTATAAGGGTGTGGAAACCTCTCCCTAGCTAGCATATGCGTTTTAATAACCTTGAGGGGAAGCCCGAAAGAGAAACCCGAAAGAGGATAATATCTCCTAGCTGTGGACTTGAGTTGTTACAAATGGTATCAGAGCTAGACACCGTGCGATGTACCAGCGAGGAGGCCCTTCCCTGAAGGGGGTAGACACGAGGCGGCGGTGTGCCAGTAAGGACATTGGGCCCTAAAGGGGGTGGATTTGGTGGGGTCCCATATCGATTGGAGCAAAGAACGAGTGCCAGCCAGGACGCTGGGCCCTGAAGGGGGTGGATTGTGATATCCCACATCGGTTGGGGAGGAGAACAAAACACCCGTTATAAAGGTGTGGAAACCTCCCACGTTTTAAAAACCTTGAGGGTAAATCTGAAAGGGAAAGTCCAAAGAGGACAATATTTGCTAGCGGTTGGCTTGGACGGTTACATTTCTTCTCAAGCCTTTATGTACGGCCGAATTGGGTTTCTCCTGCAATTTCTCTCATTTTCTTATTTCGATTATGATGAAATGTTGAAACTTTTGGTATCTATTAGAACCCATTCTCCCTGATCATTGGTATTGTCTTAATGCTTAATTACGTTTTTGAGAATCTCTTCATATTTAATCAACAGGTGATCACAGCACAATATTTTGTCTGGTTCTTCTGTCTTCTACCTTTGATTCTTCCTTGGAGTAAGATGAAGCTTAAATGGAAGGGCGTGTTCTCGATATCGATCTGGACAGGAGCACAGCTTCATTGGCTGATGTGGGGTTATTTGCTGGAGTTCAAGGGAAAGAATGTGTTGATTCAACTGTGGATGGCTAGCATCATGTTCTTGGCTGCAAACACAACCGTTTTGACCTTAATCATTCACCAACACAAGCTCTCAGCGCTTTTCATGCTACCCAATAGCACAGCCGACAAGACAAAGAAATCCAACTGATGATGTATGTACTTTGTGAGTTGAATGATAGTTTTAATGATATAATTGTTCACAACTCTCTTTTTGTTGTCAATTTTTGAGTAGCTTTGAATGATATTTTTAAGAAAAAGGCGTAATTTGGAGGTATTTTTCCTCCGTGTATGCTAAGTTAGAGTACGTAGTGAAGATACTGGTCGTTTTGAAAATGAAATTCTTGATTGAATGGATCCGTCTCCAAATGTGAGAATTGTGTGAGAATTGTTAGGTTATGGGGAGGAGATGTGTTATTTATTTATTTATTTATTATTATTTTTTTTATATATTTAGTCAATAGTTTTTATAAGTGTTTTAATAATTATAAAGTAAATTGTCATAAATAATAAATAGTAAAAAGTTACTTCGAGTGAAGTTAACTATAAAGTAGTAAATTGTCATATCAACATGATCATGAGATCGGCATTAGTCCAAACCCAATACAAGCAACAAAGACCTGAGATAAGAGTTGAGAAAATAGACATTTGAGAAAAAGAACAAGAGAATCAAACACATAGATTGAGACAATAGACCGACATTAGTCCAAACCCAATACAAGCAACAAAGACCTGAGATAAGAGTTGAGAAAATAGACATTTGAGAAAAAGAACAAGAGAATCAAACACATAGATTGAGACAATAGACGTAATAAGGAATTCAATCTTTCAGTCTTTTATGGGATGCACTCGATAACTGATTGGATAGCTTGAATGCATGTAACAGTGAATCGACTAAAACCGACTGCATTAATAACATATGCCCATTCTTTACGTGTTCTTTCTTTGCCAGTGTTGGTATGAGCCATCATCACCAAGTCCAACATCAACCCAACATCTGATTGCTCGGTTTCTTCTTTTTCATCGATTACTGCATCAACAATGATCACTTTACCTGTGTTCTTCGGAATCGCCTCCTTACAATTCTTCAAAATAGTGATACACTCTTCGTCGTTCCAATCATGTAGAGTCCACTGCCATCAAACATATTTCAAGTATGATTTAAACAATCTCAACCTTAAATTTGAAAACTAAAAAACCGTCACAATCGCACTCTATTGAGCATCACGACACGATTGTGCAACACATACTCTCGCTCTCGATCAAATTAGCCAACAACGTTATAAGCTAGCAAGTAATACGATCCGATAACAAAAAATGTAGATACCAACCTTGATGAAAGCAGCATCAGCATTTGGAACAAAATCAAACATATCACCAGCAACATGCTCCACACGTTCATACACAGGCGACGTAGAAATAACATGAGGAAGATCGAAATTAATACCTCGAATCCACGAACAAGCCTTAACAACAACACTCAAAGTAGCTCCATTTCCTCCACCCACATCCACCAAACTCCCAACCCCATCAAAGATCCCCTGACAACCATCAAGTATAGCAGCCACAACCAGCCCCGTAGAGCACCCCATGGCCTCATTGATCAGCCTATTATGCTTTGGATTAGCCGCAGCATAGCGCCACACGTCCATGCCATGCGCAGCCTCAAATGGGAACCTGCCGCCACTCTTGACGTACGCGCTCAAGTTGTGCCATGCTGCAAGCATCGCCGGGCTGGCTTCCAGCAGCATCAAGGGGGCCAAGCTGCTGCCGTTCTTGGTGGCGAGCAAGCGCGATAGAGGGGTCTGAGCATAGCCGATCAGGTCGTCGGATATGGAATATTCTTTGAAGATTCCTCGACTGACGAGGAATCTTAAGATTCGATGCAGGAGAGGTGAAGAACAGTGTAGAGTGGAGGAGAGTTGGGGCAATGTCATGGGGCTGCCATGGTCTTCAATGATATCAGCTATTTGAAGCTCTATGGCACATTTTATGGCTGCCATTTCAGAGAAACCAAATATGTATTTCCACATTTGGATGATGGCTTGCCCCTCTTCTTCCTTCTTCGACAACGTTTCTTTATCGGTTCGTTCCATTCAATCTCATTGATATCAATCCTTTTCAATCTAGCTTCATTATATAGACGCTCAAAATTTGCATTTTGTCTAATAAATACCTATAAACTTTCAAAAGTTTCAGTAATATCTTCGACTTTTAATGTTATTTTTTTTAAGTTCATAGATACTTTTCAAGTAGGTATTAATAACTCTATCCATATTAAGACAATAAGAGTATATTTGGACTAATTTTTTTTAAAAGTATTTTTAGAAGTATTTTTTTAACATTTATTTAAATATTTAAAAAAAAAATTAAAAATATTATTGAAAAATTTAAAAGCTACAGAATATTTACAAGATAAAAAGTATAAAGTTAATTAAATTTTTTAATATATATTAGTTGGGGATGGTGGAATCCCAGTGATAGACAGTAAAATGATTTATTTATTGAATATTAATAATTTAAATCTGAAAAGATATCCAATTATTTCTGGTTTTGTCGGGACTTTTAAAAAAAAAAAAAAATTATTTTATTTTTTATAATTAAAATAGTCGGTGAGCTTCAAACTGTTTCAATAGAATTTTTAAATTCTAAAAAATTATTAATTTGAGATAAAAATATTTAATATTTTATTTTAAAATATTCCTAAATTTTTAAAATTTTATTTACGGCTTTAAATTTAAATAAAAATTAAAAGAAAAAAAAAAAGTTAGAAAATACTCTTATCATTAATAATATAAACCGAACTATTAGTATCATATTTATAAAATCTTTTTTACCGTTAGTATATCCAACGTAAATAACTTATATACGTAAAATATCAATTTATTTTAATTTTAAAATAAACCAAGGTAGAATACTTTATGACCAGAAGACCTGATCCCAACAAGACTACAAGAAAATCATGTATCGATCCTAATTAGTCTTTGTTTGGTCGTACAATACTTTCTTTATTGGATTTCTGAGACCGATAGGTGAATGAGCGAAGCTGGGAAGAAAAGGTTATTCCCTATTGGCTGGCGACCTCGACCCCTGTTATTCTGACTGCTTGCTTGAAGGATATTTTTTATATAAAAATATAAACAATGTCTATCCAAATTTTATTTATTTTTTAAATAAAAGGTAAAAATAAAGGATAATTATTTAAAAATTTATACCAAGAATTTAAATCATATTATTGTTGATTTTTTTGCTCAATTAATTTTAAATTAAACCTAAAATTAAATGTTCACTTATATAGGGTTAGAAAAAAATCGACTTAGACTTCTCTCGAGACATTGACACATGAGCATGTAAATTGCACGCCCTCATGTGCTCCGTCTAATCGACTCAGGTTAAGATGATCTTTCGAACCTCTTGGCCTCGTCGCTCTTTACTTGGGCCCAACCTTATCCCGACTTGTGTACTCACCTGTAATGTAATAACTCAACCTCACTGCTGCAGATATAATCCTTTTTAACTCATTACGTATTGCCGCCGTCAGGAGGTTTTCATACCCTTGTAAGAAATGCTTCGTTCCCCTTTCCATAGTCCACCTTCTTAGGGCCAACGTTCTCACTGGCACACCACCTAGTGTCTAGGTCTGATTCCATATGTAACAGTTCAAACTCATCGCTAGTAAATATTGTTCGTCAGTTTCACGACTATAAAACACGTCTATTAGGGAGATGTTTTCACACTCTTATTTCGTTCTCCTCTCCAACTCACATGGGATCTCATACGTAACAATTTTTAAATTTTTTTTAAAATATTTTAAAATAAAAATTACTTTAGAAATTTTAATTAAATCATTTAATTTAAAGGGATTTCCTTTTTATTTGTCTTTTTCTTGAGCATAGGAAAGTGGAGAATCTAATGAAATCTTAATCAACCTTCTCCCATATATGACCAAATATTTATATTATTCTAATATATAGTTTTATCCTATTTTTTAAAAGTGATTTATGAACCTAATCCCATATTAAGTAATGCGATTAGGTACTAATATTCTACCAATGGTTCGAGATTTTAATTGTATCTGTTTTTTTAAACGAGTTAGTAGTTTTAAATTCTTGTTTCCCCGAAATTATTGTACAAGAAAAATAGTTTTATTTTTGTTTAAATTTAACCAACATTATTTTTCGAAGTATAAGAGGAAGAAGATTATGTTTTGAATCGATGCACATATTAATATAATTCAATTTAATAAGATCGAGTAACATTTGTAAAGTCTTTACTGTACCTTAAATACAAGAACCCTATAATTAATGCGGAATTTTCTTTAAATAAACTTTTATTATAAATGCAACATTCATTTGTCGTTTATTATCTTATTAAAAAAATTCAACATATACTAATAATTCGAACGGAATATAACCTAGACTACAACTGCAAATGAAATTTAACCTATACTAACCTATACTATGAATGCAAATGAAATTCAACCTATACTGCGAATGGAAAACAATCTATCTTATGTATATTGCCACAGTGATGAGATTTGCAATGCTTTTGCCACAATGATGAGATTTGTGATGCTTTCGTTGGTCTCACATGTGATGCTTCATTATATATATATATATAAAAAAGATTAAGATGGAGATTCCTTTTTATATATATAAATAAATAAATAAAGCATAGGTTAAAATACTATGTGATTAATTTTTCATGTAATTTTAAATATTCAAATTTAATTATTATATTTTTTAATAAATCTTAAAATTAAAGCTTATTAATTTTTATCGATTTAAATTTATAAGAATAAAGGTTTTTTTTTTTTAATAAAAAAACTAATATTAGAGACCATTATAGTCCATTGAAATTATATAAATTAAATTAGAACCAATTTAATTACAGTACAAACAATTCAAGACCTTTAGATACAGAATCATCTCCAAAAATTTCGATTAGAATAGGTATATGCTAAAAGCGAATATCACTCGAAGCTATCTGCCGATATATATATATATATATATATATATATATATAGTTAGTTAGAACGCTTAAATCTAAGCTACTTTGGTAAACTAAAAAACCCGTAAGCTAACATAATTTATATATATTTTTTATTTATTTGAATTAAATTAAACCTAAATAAGTTTATAGTTGAGTTGATCAAAATTTTCAAAACAATTTTAATTTTTTAATAAGAAAAGAAAAAATTAAATGTTAACCTAATTAAATTTTTATCGTATAATTTCTATAGAAATTTACTGGTCGGGGTTTGATTTGGGCAGCTGTTTTCCGTTCGCGTTATTTGAAGAACTCGGCGGAATCCTCGATTTCCTGCAATTCGATCGATCTTCATCGTCGTCCTCGCCTGAGACGATATCAGAGCTCAAGAAGCAACCATGCCGAAGAAGATGGGCGTAAACAGCAAAGCCGAGGCGGCGAGAGCACGTAAGAACTCCGCTGAGACCGAGCGCAAGGAGCGGGAGACTCGGGAGAAGGCGGATCAGTACTGGCGTGAAGCTGAGGGTCCCAAGTCTCGTGCCGCCAAGAAGCGAGAGGATGAATCTGAGAAGCGTGCTGAGGCCGCTGCTCGTAAGGCGGAGGCACGCCGCTTGGCCGAACAGGAGGAGAAGGAATTGGAGAAAGCCATGAAGAAGCCTGACAAGAAGGCGAATAGGGTTTCGATTCCGGTCCCCAAGGTGACCGAAGTTCAATTGAGGAAGAATAAAGAGGTGGAGCAAGCGGAGCTTCAGAGGAAGGCCGAGGAGGCTAAGAAAAAGCTGAACCGGACGGCGGAGGAGGAGGAGTATGAGAGGATGGTGCTGGTGAGCAATACTAATCGGGACGATTCTATTATTGAAGCCAGGACGGTAGAAGACGCGATTTCTCAGATATCTGTTGCGGATAATTTACCCGTGGATAGGCATCCAGAGCGACGGCTCAAGGCCTCATTTAAGGTGCGGCTGGTTTCCCTTGTTCTTACAATTTTAATATCGAAACGAATCCAGAACGTCTATATCACCTTGATTGTTTGTTATCTCGCTCTTTGTTCCTTCTCGCCGTTTGTTAGGTTTGATTGTTTAATCCAATTTGTTAGAACTTGTGTTCATAACAATGAAATAGGAAAGTTTAACCAGAAATGGATGTCTGCAAACGACATATTGAACGAAAGACTGGGTCATAGAAGCTTATTCTAGGATCAACTATGGTAGTATGAATGTTGGGCACCTGTTATCTTGAGGCCTGCTGCAAATTTTTTAGCGAGTTATATTGTTGTAATCTATTGGAAATCGAAATCTAACAGAACAGCTTCTAAATTTTGAAATACCTTCTTTAGGAGTAAGCATTGTATCAATCATGTCACTCACTACTACATAAGTAATCAACAGTTCAGGTAACTTGACTTCTTGTGTTGCTGCTTCTCTTAGGATAGAATATGTCTACTAGTGAGTGATGCGAGGAGTTGGATTTATTCTGTGAAGGGAATTAGTTTTTGTCGACTTCCCTTCACTCTTATTTGCTCTTGGATTGCGCTCTTTATGCCCCGCTGTGAGATGCCACATCGGTTGGAGAGGGGAACGAAACATTTTTTATAAGGGTGTGAAAACCTCTCCCTAGAAGACGTGTTTTAAAAAGCTTGAAGGGAAGCCTGAAAGGAAAAACCCAAAGATGACAATATCTGCTAGTGGCGGGCTTGGGCTATTACAAATGGTATCAGAGCCAGACATTAAGCAGTGTGTCAGTGAAAACGCTGGCCCCCGAAGGGGGGTGGATTGTGAGATCCCACATTGATTGGAGAGAGGAACAAGTGCTAGCAAGGACGCTGGGTTCCGAAGGAGGTGAACTGTGAGATCCTATATCAATTGGAGAGGGGAACGAGTGCCAGCGAGGATGCTGGGCCTTGAAGGGGGTGGATTGCGAGATCCCACATTGATTGCGGAGGGCAACGAAACATTATTTATAAGGGTGTGAAAATCTCTCCCTAACCGACGCATTTTAAAAACCTTGAGGCAAAGAGGACAATATCTACTAGTGGTGGGTTTGGGCTGTTACACCCCTCTTTGCACGCACTTTATTTATGATATCTTTGAATGCACTTTATTTCTGATATGATATTTGTCCATCTTCA